AAACCCCTGACGGGCGGCGGAGCGGCCCGGCCGTCCCCCCACAGCACCCCTTCGCTCGTTGCCGATCCCGTGTCCACGGAGCTGAACTAACCCGCGGGGAAGCCCAGGCTCCAGACCAGCAGTGGTATCCGTACCGGGGCTGCTCCCCAGCCGTCCGCTCCTCGCGAGCCCACGGCCTGCCAAAGCCGTGGATTCTGCCTGCGCCCTGCAGGCCTTTGCCCAGGCACACGCTGTTCGAGCCCAAATCACTCAAGAACTCGGAAGCACACGTTTCCAAATCGCGGGGTCTGGTTGGAGTTTTGCTGTCTGTTTTAGGAACTGGTTAAATCAGAAAGTAGAGGGAAGAGGTGGGAGCTGGCAAAGCAAACAATTAATCCCGTGTTTTCATTCAGCGCTTCTTCCCCACCTCTTTAGAAATGTGAAATAAGAACTGTTTGTTTGGCTGAAAGAGCGTTTAGGATGTCCCTGAACTAAAGCAGCGGTTTATCTAGCCCACACTGGAGCTGGCAGGCTCTTAAGACGCACGGGTGCAAATCCCTATTTTCATATCAGGGTTGTGTTAGTTGCATATCATAACACAGTTGATGCAACCTCGGTAGGACAAGCTGACTGATTAAAAAAGTAGCTGTTGGTGGAAGCTGTCCAATTACTCCCTCCTGTTTTCATTATCTGTTCAGGCCAGACTTACTCCGGCCAGCTTGGCTGAGGAGCTGCTGGTGAAGCTAGGCTCCGAGGCTCAGAAGCCCTTGCTGTGACTGTGAGAATAATGTGTCAATAAATGCAGCCTGTACTAAAGAAACTGCTACTCAGGTGCAAACACAAGCAAAATTCTTTAAATTACTTTTACCCTTTTTTTTTTTTTTTTCAAAATAGCATTTGATATCTTGTTTGAAAAGGTTCAAAACACACACACACAAAAAGACTGTAAAAGTCTGAGGTATTTTTATTAACCAAAATTCACCTTCTTTCTTCACAGCTGATGAAGAATTTAATGAACTTTGCTTTGAATTTGGTTTGGAGCTTGATGAAATTGTAAGTAACATTTTTATTTGTTACTTTCTCAGTAGATGTGGTTTACTGACAGCATTTATATTTGGTAAGAGTTTGTACTGCATTATTTCCAGAGTCTTCTCTGGTCCAGTGTTGGCCAATGCCCTCTAGCACGTACCAACAAAATGTCTAGGCAAGGTTTGGAGGCTACCACGCCCCAGGTATCCTCAAAATGCAGTGTGCACAAGACCTGAAGGTCCCCGTGACCTATACAGTCTTTCAGCAGCACTGCAGCAGGCTTTTCATCCTGAAACATTCTCATAAGTCTCCATACCACAGGACAGAATACGTAACACATACCTTTAGGTTCTTGTTGTAAAATACTGTTGTAATAGACTGTATCAACACAGGTGTTTCAAATCTGAAAAGAAAAATAGACATTACAAAAATTACCATCTTGGAAGCAAGAGACCCCAGGATGGCATGTTGCTATACTTTATGGAGGTCAGCAGTCTGTGCCACTTGGTCTTTGGTCTCTGTCCCCATTTTATTTAGCAGCATAAATGGCCACAGACCACATACTGAATACATTTTACAAGAACTCTTTGGCTTTGTTTTGTGTGCATTCTTCTGTGCAATGTCTACAAAAATGTGTTTGTCCTGGACATTGTTACCCAAGTTGTAACTAATATTTATTATGTAACTTATATTTAAAGTTTTGATTTAGATTCTGTACTTGCAAAAATTTTCTGGCCCTGTTAACTGTATCCATGTAAACCTTGTTCAAGTAGACCTGTTTTGGTTTTGCTTTTTAATTTGAGTTAATTGATCTTTTAATTATGTTTATGAAAAGACATCTGAACTTCATATGTTATGCTTTATTTCAGAATAGAGTTGATATGACAAGTCATTTGCTGATCTATTGCCCAAAATAAGGTCTCAGTTCTCTACTGGGATCTGCTAGCCTGGAGACTCTTGCTTCTATAATCTCTTTTTTAAAAATTCAAATTCTAATAGCGAATTTTTCTCTCAGTATACTGCACTACAATCTCTGAAACTGAGAAAGATTTATACTTTACATCATTTCTGGTATTTGGTGTGTCCGTTTGCTGTATAAAGCCACATTGCACCTTTACACTTCTATTTAATACAATTTTTCCAATTATATTATGTCACTATCATACTGCTGTCAATGTTAAGATATTTCATGTTAGAAAGACAATTTTGCTTAATTTCAGACATCTGAGAAAGACATTATAAGTAAAGAAAAAGGCGAAGAAAAGGCAAAGGGTGCATCTGATACCGTTCTCTACAAAATTGATGTTCCTGCCAACCGTTATGATCTTCTTTGCCTTGAAGGGTTGGTCCGAGGACTGCAGGTCTTTAAGGAAAGGTAATGCAGAGCTGTAAGATTTTTGTGTGGTTTGTTATTTGTTTAAATGAGTCCCTTTGTGGTCAATAAACAAACTTGCCACTTGTTTGGGTTTTGAGTACAATCTCATGTGTAGAGCAGATTGGTCAGATGTTCCTCCGGAGAGAATCTATTGTGTATTTTTAAAATATTAGACTAGAATGTTACTGGGTTTGGGATCTGTTCTAAAACTTTTTCAACTGCTGTTCCATTTGAGACTTATCCTCTGTAAAGAACTCCCGCAGAGGAACTTCTTTGTGGTCCTCTGTAATGAATACCAAACCAAATAATTTATTTCACTTTTCTGCTATGGCTTTATCTTCTTGAGTCCTTCCTTTCTAGTACAGTAATCTTTACGATTCTATAGAAAACAAGTTTTAAATAGTTAGCTAATTTACATGCCAAGAAATGTTAATAAGAAAGTTTTCTACATATAACTGTTGCTACATTTCTAAAGTTTCCTGCATTTGCGGAACTTACTTTCTTTTGGTTACAGACTTATTTCTGGTTTTATTGTAGGATCAATCTCCCTATGTATGAAAAGATAATACCAGCTCAGGGTGAAGGTCAGAGGCTGATTATCACTGAAGAGGTAAAAGTGTTTACTTCTCCTTTGTAAATTTATTGAGAGTTTCTGAACCAGCAAGATAGGTATTGGTACCAATTTTATAAGAGCAGTGAGACTGGAAACCTTATTTGCAGAACAGGAGCTAAAGAACTTAAATATCTCTACACGTTGTCATTTATTTTTAGGGAAGGGGAGGGGGAGGAACAATAGACAAATTATTTTGGGTGAACCTAGTAGCTGATCCAAGTCAAATTTTCAGATGCTCACATTGCATTGACTTTCTGGGCCATTACACACTATACTGGAAACCTCCTTGTCTCTACCAGACCTGGAGTGGGTTTGTTTGGGTTTTTTTCCCCTCTGGGATTCTGATGTCTTTCCATAAATCTTCCTTTTGATTACTACTTTACAAAAGAGGCTTTTATGAATAAAAGTGCACATTTAATCAGTTTTAGTTTTGTATATTCTGTGTACTTGAAATTTATAACGTGTTGCTGTTGTAAATTGCAGACTGTGCAAGTCCGTCCTCATGCTGTAGCTGCAGTCCTACGTAACATAACTTTTACCAAGGAACGTTATGATAGTTTCATTGACCTCCAAGAAAA